ATTATTATTATTATTATTATTATTATTATTATTATTTGACCTCAGATGAGTCCCACCGTTCAGTACACGGTAACGGAGAACAACAATACAGCCACAATCAGAAGCGGTGCTGCAGTGCGCATCCACACAGGACTGACACTGCTGTCAACATTGGCCGGCTTCTGCATAGTGGGAGCGATCTTGCTGATCGGTGGGTCGGTTAGAGGAGATGGAGTGGTGGTTGGTGCTTCGCTGTTAATGTTGGTGGTGTTTAATGAATCAGCATTGCCATTCTCTTGTGAGTCTGTTGTGGGAGAGGTACCTGGAGCTGCAGTGAGTTCGTTACGGGAATTACCATCACTGGATAGAGTGCTCTCCGCTGCTGGAGATGGTTGCTGCGCAGTAATGCTATCATTGACATTACTGTTATCTGTGGGTTTTGCAGACTCAGCTGGTAAATTGGTTTGTGTGGAATCAACATCTCTAGGTGTTGTTGAGGCTGTTGTTGTAGATGTGGTTGTGTGTGTTTCTGAAGCCCCTGATGGTAATGCTTTCCCTATAGCTGGAGCACTCACTGGTGCAGATTCTTCTTTTTCTGCTGTAACATGTATTTGAGGTGCTTCTTTTGGTTTGGGTAACTCCAGTGTACTGTCAGGACTGAGAGAGTTCTGATGACCGTCACTGTCATGGTTAGAAGAAATAGTAATCATATCAGCCACTTCATGAACAGTTTGATGATCTTTTACCTCTTCCAATCCTGAACTCTGACCACCTAATGATTCATGTCGTTGTTCATGTAGTTGGGCTTCTCCCTCACGGATACCAACGCTATTACGTATCTCCGCATTTTCTGGTTTCGGATCCTTACCAGGAAACCCTTCCCAACTACTCGCATAAATATCGTAGTTCTTCTCCGTATTTGACTGTCCACCTCCAGCCATGGTATACCCGCAGGTGCAGCACAGCACAACGGCCAACACACACATCACACGGTGCTTCATCATCATCATGAGAGAGACAAGGGTTTCTTTCACGTAAAAAGACTGCTCTAGAAAGAAAGACAATCAAAAAACAACAAAGAAAATAAATGAAGTAAAAAACATGTTAGGACACATAAATCGATTACCACTATGGAAACTGACATCGTGAAAGTAAAACCTACCAGTTAAAGAATTCAATACAGCGCAATAACCTCAGTAAGAGTAAAAACAAAAAAAAAGGCCCACACTCACAAATATCTCAAAAAAGACTCAGAGACCCAGCAAAACAAACAAGCAAATAAACAGATATTAACCATTAGCCCAATTTACCCAGTTAACATAGAAATACACCAACTATGGGTGTAAGTCTATATATATATGTGTATATAAGTAATTATAAATATAAATTCATCTCTTATTATTATTTCTTTTCTCACATTTCAAAAAGCAGTTCATCATCATTACAGTGCAAAGCCCAGCGACACACACACAGTGAGAGTCTCCAAGAACACACACACACACAATGGAGTAGTAGCAATAATAATTATTATAGGATAAACACAGATAGCAAAAACACACAAAACACACATTAACATTAAGAAGCAAAAGAAGAAGTAAATCCCAACAGGTAAAAGATTAGTTAGACTGTAGGGATGTATGCAAAAAAAAAAAAAGAAAAGAAAACAAAGGATGACCTGAGTCACACCACACCACCATTACAATCAGCACACAAGAATACAGGACAGTGTAACCACAATCAGTAGTGGTGGTACACGCACCCACACAGAACTGCTCATACTGCT